GTTGCCTTGAGTGCTGGGGTGGGTTAGACCTGTGTTGAGCACAGCAGTGTATAGGGGAGAAAGCTGAAAGGGGTTCAGAGGGAAGGAAGTGTTGTTGATGTTGTTCATGGTGTTTTTTCTTATTCGTTTTTGTTATTAAGTGCCTTCAGGACTAGAACAGTGAACGAACAAATATGAATACTGAACAAAGTTTCAACAATCTTAGACTACGGAACATGCTGTGGTTTCTTATGCCATGCTTTTATTTTCAATGCAAGTATTTCTTTAAACAAATCATTATTGTTGTGCCATATCATTTGTTTTAACTTGATCAAAGTCTTGACCTTACTTAAAGGAAAATAATTTTAGATTCTATATAAGTGCCAGTGCAGCATGATGGGCTGAGCAGGGAACTATGGGAAGAATGAGGGAATCACATGAAGCAGTGTTAATTTATGTATTCTGCTTTGATATAAGGGCTTAATACAGTATTCATTTGTGCTAGAGTCTCGGTAAAAAGGGACATGCTATGAAGCAGGCTGCATAGATTTTAGTTTGTGTAGCAGCTAAATGCACATTTTAAGCACAGGTCTTGCACAGTGTTTTCTCGACCACTTGTATTTGGTAGTTATTACATTGAAATAGCTTTTAAGAAAGTTTAAACAGAGCTCTTGTCTATCACAACAAGTACAATCAAAAGCACAAAATCAAATAAGATAAGGGAATATAGATTTGGAAGAAAGGGTGTTTTTAATAAGTGAGATCATCACAAAAGCAGGAAGGCACTTTAAATATACTTAAGTGATACTCCACACAAGATGTGTCTTCTGAGTATGAAACATTCCCTGTAGACCTGAAAGATGGGTGTAAAAAAGGTTGTAGTTTGATCCTAAATGGAGCACAGTGAGAAGGTGAGATCAGATTGAAGTGATGTTGGATTCCACTGAAAGTTCTCAAACCAATCCTGCAGCATATTCCACTGATCTGCCGTCCCTCTGCATGCTTAGTGGGTTCCAGTTTTATATCCACCAAAGTATGACTGAATACTCTTATTCAGTGTTCTTTCACGACCCGGTCTGCTTTTTCATTGGCCAGAACCTCTCCATTGGAGCTCACTCATTGGCTAGACTGAATCTGTCTGGTTAAAAGAGCAAACTACAAACTTGTTACACCTTCATATATTCGATATTTTTGTTAACAAATCCCGTGAAAAGACCAAAACCAATTGTCGTTTTTGCCTTTTTTCAATTATAGCCTGCCGTAGAGTAATGACAGGAAACGGAGGGAAGAGGTTGGGAATGACATGCAACAAAAGTCCCAAGCTATAAATGAAACGGGGGACGTTGTAGTTCATGGTTGCACTTTAACCTCTAGGCCAGCACTGCAGTACACAGACAATACTTGTTAGTAAGATTAATTGATTGTTGGTTTCGGTATTTTCATCAGATTTGTTACCAATCGGAAAAATACACCAAATGAACCCTTTTAAAACTTACAGCGGGGTGCGAGTTTGATATTTTGAGTGGAGTATCACTTGAAGTGGGACTGTGAGGGACAATCACTGTGTAGTTCTTGATAGATGATAGGGTGGTCCACATTGCTGTTGGTGAAAGTGTCAGAGCACAGATCAAGTAAAGTTTCTACAGTACTGTGTGTAAAACCTCAGACTCAAGTTTTGTGACGTTCCATTCGTTGCCTTCATTACCAGAAGAGAAAAACAAACATTGGTCAGTCCATCAGTATATATTTATTCAGTAGTTAAGTATTGTCTGCCTTTAGCTGTGTGATTTGCTGTTGAAGGGGTGGGACTTTTAACTTTATCCTGTCACAGCCTTTATACGGAGGGGGCCCTCTACTGTATCAATATACTTAAATTGTGCCACTTTAATTGAGTGATCTCTAGGTGCAGTGCAACCTAAACTAGCTGATTGTTTTGTGGTGCCTAAAAGTATGACTGTATTTTTTGAGTATTTTGGTTTTCAGAAAGGGTTTTTTTTTTTTATCAATGCTGTTTTCATAATGAGGATAGATTATGATTGTATGTTTGAAGAAAATATGCTTATTGTGCAGGTTTTGCTGCAATTGTTTTTTTTGACAAATTCCATCCATTTTTATTTTTTTTGCTCTTTTCCAGTTCTTTCCTTCTGTCATTGACCGGTCACTTGGGATAGTGTGGTGGTGTTCCCATCGAATAGCTGGCACCTCTGTAGTTCTCTTTGCTCTTAACTCACTTCATGCTTGGTGTTCACTCCTGAAAGCACTTGTTTCTCCCTTGTACTTTGTGTGTGTGTGTATGTGTGTGAGAAAGATATTTTGTTTTTTACTCTGAGTCAGTAACACGGAAGAGATCACTGTAATATGATGCAAAAGGAGATCAGTCAACTACGTGGCCACTGTTTAACTGTTATTTTGCTGTTGCTGCCATATCTGTGTTACACAAACAAAGCTAAATTGTTTAAAATTGAAAAAAATAGAAGACCTTTAAATTTGAAACCTGTATAATGATCCTGAAAAACACACATCACAGCCACATCTTTTAGTGACAGGTCAACATTTAGGCTAAAGAATCTTGCCATGAGAAGTTATGGCCACACACACAGATACAGAGTTGACATGTAAAAGGAGGAACCATTTCCATCCGAGGAATAAAAGGCCATTGTGCACTCCCAACATACACAACCAGTGCCTTTTGAATTAGGACTATGTTTAATCAGCGTGTGTGAGCTATGATTATTTGCATCAAATAATCATGATTGTTCAAGTAGCATAAGTACCTTGAAAATCCAAAGAAGCTTCTCCAGAAGCCGTCAGTCTAGATTGAGATGCAAAAATAGCTACATGAGATCTGCTTTGTTGACTGAAATCTTTTTCAGAGGCACATCTCTTCTCAACACGCTGAAGTCTGCCAAACCTAATAAACCATACCATGGTAAGTTATGAAAACAGATGAGAACATCGGGTATGAAATTTTGAAAAAAAGTTCTTGTTTTTTTCCCCACATTTTTCCACATTGCCCTTCTGCCTCACGTTGTTAGATAAACCTCGGTGATCTTAAGGTCATGTTGCTGTAGGCCCCAGCATGCACAAGAGCGACAGACACAAGCCATAGCAGATTTCGAGATGGGGGACTCCACAGGTTGATGGGCACACCACCTCTCCAGTAGCACACATCTGTACACACGTATAAATAAAATATTAGAGTGAACACTGCTGGCTCTGTTATCTGTGATACAGTAGGGGGAGAAGGCTGTGTGATGTTTGCATGGAAACGAATGAGCAAATGTTCTTCTTTGCTAGACACACTACATGTTTGATTCTGCACCATGCTATCATCCTTTTATTTCATTTCAGTATAATTATTTCTATAATTATGTTGAACATTAAGCATGTGTTGACAACACGCAGGATTCTTCAAATCACTTTTATTTTTTACCATTTAAGCTTACTTGGACTTTGTCCTTCTCTGACAGTGTATTGATGGATGATGTGTGTATGACGAGATTTATTTTCATTTTGGCCCTACAAGTCCAGCGCTCCAGTTAAACAATGCAATCAAGAAAACAGCCAAGTACATTGAGGAGAAGTTTTTAGACATTCAGTCATCCCTTTTTGTTGAAGAAGTTTGATTCTGCTTTGTGACAGAACAATAAGGGAGAGGCATAACGGCACAGCGTTTTATTAGGACTTGTTAAAATCATCACAGCAAAATAGCATTGCCTAATCACTCATTTAAATGGTGACAGCTCTACATCTTTTCATTATAAATTGTCTAGTAAATTCAACCCATATGTGTTTTTTATTACACTGGGACAAAAAATTAGACAGTTGTGTTTGATTTAAAATCTTTGTGTATTTGTTTTGTTCATGAATGAGATGTATTATGTATGTTTTGTGCACATTACCCATGTATCATTTATCAACACATGATCGTAATCTGTACACATTTGCACAAAGCACTCAGTGTTTGTACATATGCAGTTATTTTATGTCACATATGATTTTTTTATACATGTGCATGTGTCAGATTTTGCCAGAAAACAATGAAACATTGACGCGTATTATCAAATTGATTCAATGTGTGTCTATTTGAGTAAGTGTGAGTGTTATTATTTTATTACTCAGTGTGTGAGAAATAAATCTCCGAGCAGAAAACAGTTGAGTGCGCTGTGAAGTATAAAAAGAAGATGAGTTCACGTCAAACCATGTGCAAATTCGCCTGACAAGCAGACTAAATAGCCATTTTGTTTTGTTTTTAAATTTGCTGATTAAATCGCTGATGTGGTTTGGAATCAGTCTATATGCATTTTGCAGGTTGGCCAAGTTGGAAGGCATCCAGATAGTACCATTAAGGTGGAGGCCTTTTTGATCATCAGGCAGTGACTAAAGTGCAGCTTATACAGTATCATATTATATCAGTAGTTATTCACTTTGAGCAAACAGAAAGTAAAGTAAGCTGTTTTGTTTGTGTATATGTGTTGTAGCTGTGCTTATCTGCAGGGAGCACGTGCACAAACCTTTGCTTTACTTTTCTGATCCCCAAAATCAAATTATCATTATTTTAAAAAATCCAGATCCTGTGAAGTGTTTACCAGATTAAAGGATACATAATGTGAATCCAGGTTATAATATACCTGCCTTTTTAATTGTTTTAAAACTTTTAAATGAAAAAGACAGGTAACTATACCACCATTAGGTGAATCTACTTGTGTCATAACTTTTTAACTCATAAAATAACATTAAACACAAGACTATAATTAAACATTAAACATTATTCTTAAATATTTTATTTCACTCAACATTTTAAGATGGATATTTCATATTACATTTCATATATAGTGTAACTAGAATGTACTTGTATAGCTAACCTAAATGACTTACAAACGAATAAACTGGCTTGTAAATTGCTTGTATGTGTCTCTGGCGGTGCTGTAGCGCCCCCAGCGGCGAGCAGGAGCGGTGTTTTCACGTAGGGCGTGATTGCGCGGCCCCTCCCCCTCCACGGCCGATCTGGAAAAGAAAAAAAAACTTTTTTGTATCGAAGGAATCAACAGCCGCCATCTTGTCGTGGCTCGGAATTAGGATTTCGGTCCAACACTGGTTTTTACGTAGAAATCGAGCATCCTTACCGCGATATGACAGCGTCCTTCCCCCGAAAACGACATCTTAACATCGACTCGGAGACATTTTGTGCGAAAAAACGGGAATTGGATCGGTGGTCGTCGGGCAGAAAAGCTCCGTATATCTGATTTCCCCTTCAGAGTGCGGCGATTCAGCCCCTGTCGCCGTTCGGGAGCAGTATTGTTTACCGTGGGCAAGCGGAGACCAGGTCGTGACTTTCGAAGTGGTTTTCAAAAACACAGCATTTTTATGCAATTGTGCATTTTTGTGGAGCTTCGCGCGATTTTTGCATGAAGAAATTTGACGTCACGCAAAATGGGTACTTGGATCATCTAGAAATTACGACCTTTCCCCCGGACTGCACCGCAATACCGCTGTTTACTGGACTGTCACTCTGAAGTTCGGTTCTTTACATGGGGACATTTTTATTTCGGGTTATTTAACGACCATAATGTGGGTGTTGGGTGTTGGATTATCATGGGGTGAATGGCGGTGGCGAAGCGGGGCGCTATTGCATCTCTTTTAAAGACTGTGACTCTCTCAGCGAGCAGAGCAGCAGCTAACGCTAACTGATAACTTAGCTGGTAGCAGCCAATTAGCTAGCTATTAGCCAGTTAGCTCACGTTAGCAGGCTGCCAGCTTGCTAATGCGCTAAACCGGGAAGGCTCGGGCTGATAGAGCAACTTCCCCGTCATAAGGCAATCAACATTATCAACTTAAGCAACCGGCCGGACAACATAGCAACTATGTCTGAGAACCTGCTGGAAACCGGACCTCCCAGCTCAAAGCGGGCGAAGCTGAATTCACCTGCCCTGTCAGCGTCTGATGGACCAGGTAAAGGCCTCGATACCGTCTGCACATGTAAACACCAGTGTCGTTACACACTTACACATCACAGTTCAGTGTGACATCGCCTCTCAGGTGTGTGGACCACCTGTGCAGGATGGGTTGAAGTCACCAGGTCAGCTGGGTGTGCTGAGCTGTCTGTCGGTAGTGTCTGTGGTTTGGGTCTGTAATTGGGGATGACCTAACGTTACTCTGGACACTCAGATGCCAGTTTATTAGGAACCCTTGCTTCTTCCTGATAGTAGTGCTGGCATAGAGCCTACCTCCGTGAGCTGTAACACTGAACACTGTCGGAGATGATAAAGTTGTCTTGCAGCGCTGTTGGTGTAAGTTGTAATGTTTGAGCTAATGATGGAGCTACAGTGATGTCTCAGACCCTCCTCTTGCATACTCAAGTAATGCAAAGTTTGCTCCCCCCCCCCAAAAAACCATCTGGTTCTAAAATCAGAGGCCACTTGTGTTGATAGTTTACTGTGCATCAGAAACCGATGTGTAATATCGGCAGACTGGCCCTTCTAAAGCAGATCCATTAATGTGCAGAATGAATGGAAAGGGCTTTTATGGATTCTGGTGGTTTCATGGTATATCACAGTCGATGTGTAGGTTTATAGCGGCTGGACATATACTATAGAAACATTTTGTTGTTGTCATGTAAACACTTTGATACAACCCGATGTAAAGAATTGTTATTGTACAAACTGCACAGTAAAACAGAACGAAGAAGGAACGTTTTCCAAACCAATCAAATGTTCTATTACACAAGAAACACATACAGCAGTGGTTTCAGCCAAACAATGGGGTGGGTGGCGGTATATGAAAAATCCTGATCAAAAGGGAAATTTAAACCAGTATACCGGTTCATCTGGTATACACAGCACTACGTTCAGAGTTCAGGTTGGTGTAGTGTAGTGATCAGGTGTGCCAGCAAGAGAAACCGGGTGACGGCCAGTGTTTGATATTGATTTGGTGCTCAATCCAGCTACTAAACATGAACTGGTGCACATGATCGCAGTGATCTCGTGGCCACAGAACCCCCGAGCGACCGTACGAACCCGTACGTCATTCAGATTCTGACTGCCATTTTGATTGTGCAGTAAATATTGTTCTTGCTGATTGCGTTACACTTTGTGCGAGGTTCATCTGACATTTCTCTGTAGTCACATACACTTGAATTCATGTGTTGGAATACATAATAGAAATCTACATGTAGGCTCTGTGACAGCACTTATGGCTTTCTGTTTAGTATCTTTACTGCGTTTAGTTTTAGTTTGAAGACAAATGGACATTAACACAATTTCTGCCTTTGTCAAAGAATAAGATAAGAGCCTGACTGTAAAACTAACACCTGTTTTTAAGGGGAAACAACATACACTATATGTTTATTGTGCTGTATGAAAAACATTTTACACGTTTGTTCCATTTCAGTAAATGAAAAACAAACTAAATTAGGTAGTTACTGATGGAGTAAACATTAGAAAACATACTTAAACACTCTTGTCATGCTCTTGGAAGAAAAACAAAACAGATTTCCTCTTTAACTTTTTGGAAACATTTTCTGATATGAAAACATGATATTCTGTGAAACTTGTTTCTTGGCCGCTGACTTGACGGATGACTTCCTGATCCATTTCTAAAGTAAATAGGTTGTTAGGAATGTATTTCGTTGGTGGCAGCAAAACATGTAACATTAGCTGGCAGACAGCTCCTGTAGTTTCAACTTGATTTACTCACTTTGGGGACTTGGGGTGCAGCGGTGCTCAGGAGGCGCGGTTCGGTTCATACCCTGGTTTAGGAGTCCCGGTGCGAGTTCGGTTCAATGTGGGAAAAACAAAAGCATGTGGATAGATTCTTTTAATTTATTTTGAACATACAGTAGTGAAATCATCTTGGTAGCGTTTTGCCCAAAAGCAACTTTTGGTGTGCTCCTTTCAGGATAAAAATATGGAACATTTCTGTATTAAACTGTACATTGATCAGCCAGAACATTACGACCACCTGTGCACGCTGGTGGTCGTAATGTTCTGCAGACTGTGACGCTCTGTGTGTTCTGACTCCTTTCTATCAGAACAGCATTCACTGTTTCAGCAGTTTGAGCTCCAGTAGCTCGTCTGTTG